AATCAAAAGAATGGATTACAAGGAAATAGGGTCAAAAAACAACATCTTTGGGATATAGTTGATTTTTTGGTCAAACAGTTGACTTTTAGGTCAACTGTTGACTTTTGGTCAAATATTGACCATTGACTCGATTTTGCCTCCTAAAATTTCCTAGACCTATTCTACAAGCATTTGATGAAAGAATTCATCATTATTCATCAAAAATGACTTATGTCATGATTATGCTAAATGCTAATTTCCAACAAATTCTATCTTCAATCAAACTTCACTTCCATGGCTTATTCTTCACCTTTCAATGTTGCTCCAAGTTCATTCTTCCACTACAATGCTCACTTTGCTACAAACAAAATTGAGATCAAGTTAGTCTCCTTAAATCATAAGCATAAGTCATAAGAAGCAATCAGAAAGTCATGAAGAACTCAAGGAAACTTAGAAAAATTGTGCACTATGTAGTGATTTCAATACTTATTTTTTCAACACTTTCCAATCTTGATTCATGCCCAAAAAGTCAGAATTTGATTCATAAATTCACACCACTCAAAAGTGCTTGTTTTCAACATAAAATCACTTTTAAAAAGCACTTAAAGTCATTAGATAATTCACAAAAAATTAAAGGCAAAAGTGGTACAAAAATCACAAGAAAAAATATTAAAAATTTCCAAGTTTCATGCATAATCACCAATGACCTTCTACATTACATTCCAACATATTACTTTAACAAAAACCAAACACCATTTGTCTCTAACTACCTATGCATCCACAATCATTCAATTATACAATTAACCATTAACTATCATTACTACCAAATTAACATAAATTATACCAAACTAACACAAATCCCAACTTCCATTTTCAATCAAATTTCTATTCAATCCTAACCATTCATAAGAATAAATCCAAGGGTTGAAATTAGTGATCCACAACTAAGGCTTAGATTAATTTCCATCCATTGATAAACCTCTATCTTAGACCACAATCTAAGGATGCTCATTCATTTACAAAACCTATATAAACATGTCATTTTTCACAATTTTGAGACTTAAATCATATTTATTGTTTTAACCATTTTTTTCACCATTTTTTTTATCAAGTTCTCTCATAATTATCTCTTTTCTTCACCCCCTCATCATCACCAAAGTTCATATTCATCATCATCTAAAACTTCACATTGAAGTTCTAAATTTGGTGGAACTTAGGCACAATCTAATTTCAACAAATCACCAATCAAGTTTCAACAATTCAAGCATCATTTCATCCAAAGTTTCATCAAATTCAAGTATATTTCTCAATATTCTAGATTCAAAATTCATCTTCTATATTCATTTATCATAAAGATAATCATCAAGCTTGAAAATCATTAGAAGCTTAGCAAAAAAGCTTACTTTTAAAGTTTTATGGGTTTCTCTTCGACACCCTGTTAGAAACTTTTAACCAGGGCAAATCTCCAACTAGTCAGTAATCTTCATCTCTTATCTTCCACCCCATTGCCATGAATCGTTGAATATTTCTTGTTTATTAATTTAAGTCAACGTTAATGAATTATTTAATAAGCACTTTTTCCTTAAACCCAAAAATCTAATTTCAAGTAGCTAGAAAATTGCATAAAAATCAACATAGTATAATTTCTAACATACTTTAGCATAACATTGAATAAGGCATTGCTTTAGTGTAAAGTTTAGACATAGAGCATGAAATAGATTATTAGAATAATCACTTATTTGATCCAAAAACCCAACTTTGACATGTGTCGCGGTGTGAAAAATACCTGAGCGTATTGCATGCTCGATGATACAACAGAGTCGCCACCGAATTTTATTTATTCCAAAAGAAAAGAGAAAATATCGATAAAACATAGGAAAAAGAGAAATGGATAAGAGAGTCGATTATGCGAGGGGAAGGTATTATCATCCCTCACATCTGTCGCACTCGACGGGAACCATTTTGCTTTTTATTTATATGAATGAGTGTTACTATCGAAAGGTTACTTGTGGAAGGGGAAAATGTTTATAATTAAGGTGCTCACGGAGGAGTGGGGCCATCATGCTTGCATATCTTTATAGTGCAATGAGACAATGGGAGCTCCGTAGTTCAAAGGAAAAATAAAAAGGTCGCTCGCCAAGATATTGCAATCTTCTGGCTATGTGTTCTCATAGTTTAGTGAGGAAACCAGAGCTCCGTAGTTCGTGGAAAAATAAGTAAATTGTACTCGCAAAGATCCCGCAATCTCGTGCCTACGTATCCTCATAGTGAAATGAAGAAGTTAAAGCTATATAGTTTGTAGTAGAAATAAAAAAAGGTTGTGTTGGTTGAATAAGGAAAGAGCGCTGTAAGAGCATAAGCTCCACAGGGCAAAAAGAAAAGAGAAGAATTACCAGAGCATGAAGCTCCACAAAGCAAAAGAAAAGAGAATATTCTCTTAACCAAACTCTTACTTTTCTTTTATGCATGCTTCATCACCTATCTATCAGAAGCCTTTGAATATTGAAGATAAGATCTAAAAGATTTTACGTGAGAAAAATAGTATACAGTACAAGATCAAATATTTCTTCCACTACATTAATTTTATAGGTTAAGGATTGTACTATTGTATCATTTTATCTCCTATTTTCACATACCGCTATATAAAAATACAACTGCGCTTTGGTATTCCATATCTACCTTCCAACGGATTTCTTCATTACCTATATAAAAAAGACTTGGAAGAATAGAACAATGCTACACTATAGAAGATTATCATATACGTGAACAATGCACTTTGTAAAAATATTTTGAGAGAAAAGAAATAGTCACACAACAAACTTTTCTTCATACTCTTCATAGAATATATTTTGTGTGATATACTTGTAATTCATTTTGTGTATTCTACTTTCTTATAAGCATTTTGTAAACATACTTTGTATCTCAATCTTTTTTATTGTATTTTCTTAAGTGAATAGGGTTTAGTCAATATTACTCAAGAAGACATTAACTGTTGGTCTTTGTGTTGTAATCAAGTTTGGTTATAGTGAATTAAGTCCTTTGTTGATAAAATTTCAAAATAAAGTCTTTATTGATAAGGCGAAATCACCTTCACAGATGGATTGGAGTTAACTTAGTTAACAACAAACCAAGATAAAAGTAATTGTTTCATTATTTCTATTCTTAGTTTTCTGTTTGTTGTGTTGAGTAAAAAAAAGATTTTATTTTTATAAACTCAAGTCAAACACTCTTTTTTTTGTGTTTCTCCTCACCTTCAATTAAAAATATCATTATAAATAAGAAAACTTTTGTATTTATAAAAGAAATCAGTAAGATGAAAAGAAGATCAATACATTCTTCGTTTCACTTTAATAACTAACACTCTCTTAACTCTATCTTCTCTCTTATAACTTCAAAAAAATTTATTTTTCAAATTACTGTGTGAGAAAATCATCTTAAACTAAGGTGTGGTTGAATCATTCGAGTGAAGAGTGAATAATAAAAATCTTGAATAAATCAAAAAAATGATTGAATCTTATTCCATAAAATCAATTCCAACATTTATGAATTATGATGCAATTATTTGCGACGAATGATTCACATCATGAAAATCTTGTGAAGAATCACCAAAGTGTTTCTTTAAATTGAAAATGAAGATTATTCTTTGAATCTTTGAGAATTTTCGAAGAATACGAAAGAATTGACGCAGAAAGAGAATTGTTAAAGATTATATATTATAAAATCTCTCAAATAAATTCTTAATGTAACACTAATAAATAACTTATTTCAAAATTTAACTAATTTACTCTAAGAAACTTCTACTAAAATAACTAATTTATCTCTCTAATCTAACTAATTTTAAAGACTTAATAATCTTTTTTTTTAACTTGAGTTATACAAAATGTTTAACACTAATAATTCTTTAACATATTGCTTTGCTTTAAGAGATGAGAAAAATATTTGAAAAAGAGTAATTTTTTGACATTCAAAAGACTAATTTTTTTTTTTAAGAAGAATGAGTAAAAAAAAAAAGGTAGACCAATTTTAACATTAAGAAGAGCGATTCCTCAACCTTCAAAATAAGACAAATCTCAATATTTTAAAAAAAAAACATAATTTTATTTTCAATGAGACAGAGAAAAAGTATACTACGTGTGGAAACATATAAGCAAACATCATTTACTTTATTTTTATATATCAACTAATTAATTATAAAATACATAATGATTAAATTCATAATCACCTTCTTGATGCGGTTGCTTTTGCTTATTATATATATGACACTTGCACCTCCAAGAATTTGTTTGTTTGACAATTACTCCAAATTATACGTTAATAATAGTGTATTTATGTTAAAGTATAATAACTTATTAACAAGTGAATTTAAATAAATAATTAACTAAAACATACCTCACTAACAATCTATAGTATTATTCTTCTAACAGTACTAGGTATCAGATTCAATGCATCCTTCCAAGATATCACAATCAATATCCTATGTTTGATAAACCAATTTCATACATAAACGACAAGAATCACTATATGTATATGCCACATATCACACTCAACAAAAATTATTAATATCATAAACATATTTATGCACAAGAAGTTAACACAACATGATATAAAATATATTTTCATTGTCTTATTAAACCGACTCATTACACTTCAGTTGATAAATATACAAAAACATAGTAGTAATGTAGGTTGATCATCGAGGATGTGTATATATTTTTCTGGTGTGAAAAATAGTGTCCAAAAGCTGTTTCAGTAAATATGAAGAGTTTCAAAAACCTTACATGCTTTTATTTATGAATAATAATCATATTCACAACTACAAAAGGCCGCACCTAAATGATTTATAATTTCAATCATTCAACATCCAAGACAGAAACAAAGACAACACCATACTAAGATAGCAAACCACATAGTTTATACAGTCACAAAACTTTAAACATAAGCATAAACAACAACAACATAATAATAATGAACCACCAAAAGGTGTTCCATTTGTGCAATAGTTTTTTATTATTAATAACTGCCTAGTTAAAAATCAGGTTATGGATGGGGTCAATCATTTCATCAAAGGTCCATGCGTCCAAGAAGTTGTTGTCCCAATCAGCAGGCATAGTGAACGGCGCAGGGGCAGGTGCAGGCTGAGGCTGAGATTGAGGCACAACTTGAGCCTGAGCTTGGACCTGAACCTGAGACTGAGGAAAGTCATTCTCCAAACCTAGGATCCATTCAAGATCAGACATTTTCTTTTTGATTTCCATCTCCTGATCAATCTCAGACCCAGACCCAGCAGACTCAGAGCTAGCCTGCTGAGAACTGAGTTGATCAAAACTATAGCTAACACACCGCTTCTTCATTGGAGGAGCGGTGACAGCTTTAGCACCATAACCAACAGGAGCATCTGGGAAATTCAGCTTAGCCTTGTCTCCGCGGATTCTCCTTGCAGCAGCATCATAAGCTCTGGCGGCCTCTTCGGCCGTCGAGAAAGTACCGAGCCAGACACGGACACCTTGCTGTGGGTCCCTTATTTCAGCAGCCCATTTCCCCCATGGCCTCTGCCTGATTCCTCTGTAAACATTCTTACGAGTTCTTTTCCCTCCGGTGCTTTTCTTATCTTTCTCAACGGTCACCACGCTTTGTTTCTTCTCCGCAGTGTCACATGCAACCACTGCCACATACAAAAAAAGAAAACACAGTACTCAATTACATTAACAATCACGTGACACCTCAAAAAATAAAATTTAATTATTCTTTAAACAAATCTAATTTTAATTGCATAAACTATAAATAAATAAATAAAAATTATTACTCCATATATTCTCCTCTTCTTGATGTGTGTGGTGTGGGGGTGGTTGGTGTGGATGACTCATTACAAGCTAATATTTTCGAAGCATCTTTAGTTACATCGCATCTGATAGAATATTTTATTTGATCGATAATATCAAAAAAAATTTTTTATCTTTTTAGTATAAAGTTAAAAAGAAATTAACTTTTCTTTAACTTTTTGTTTTTAAATAACATAGGAAAACGTGACCGGAACAAAATTGACATCTCTGTTAATTTTTTAACGTAAAAAAGTAGTAAATTCTTGAACTTTCCTTAAAAACTGTTCTAGAAACAGTAATCATTCATGCATTTAGTACCATGTACACCAAACACCCAAAAGCCAAATTTGAAGGACATAGCCAAATACATGTAAAGAGAAATAAAATTATATTTTTAGTAAAAAAATATTATTGTCAATATAAATAAATAAAGTGACGTCATATATACAATAAATAATATTTTTAGTAAAAAAATTTATTTATTTACTTATAGTTTATTGTAAAAATTATAATTTATTGTCTATATCAATAAATAAAGTGAGGTCATATATAGAATAAATTATATTTTTAGTAAAAAAATTTAATGCAAAATTTTATTTATTTATTTATAAAAGTAAATAAAATTAAATCCATAAAAACATGAACGATCACTGGAAAAATAAGCATAGGCATGATGAAAAAAACTGGATAGAAACATTATAGAACCTAGAAGAAGTGATAGTAGTAGTTGGTACCTCTTTTGGGTGAGAAAATATGCGGAAAGTGAAGGGGAGGTAAATCTTTGGAAGTGGGGGTGTAATTAGCAGCACCGAGACCAAGTAGATCAACAGAAGGATCGAGCTCAAACCAGAGGTCACGATCACGCTTGACACCAATGAAATCTGAAATGATAGCACCACCACACATTTTTGCAGCTTCTTAGAGAGAAAAACAGAAGAAAAATATTTGTGAAATGATGAGAGAGAAAGAGAGAGATAGAGACAGAGAGAGAATGAGAGAGTAGAGTGTATCTATCTATTATGTGTATTTATATAGGGCTCAAGTTGGTTGGTCCCACTTTAAAGGTTGTGAATCATAAAGGGTTGATTTATGATCAAACGGTGGTGAGTGAGAGGTTGCTTACGTGGCGGGTTGGTGTTGGGTTAAGGTTAAAGACGGTTTTTGAGAGTGGTTTTGTTTTTGTTTTTGTTTTGTGGTTTTTTTTTAAGGATGTGTTTGGTTTTGTAATGTAACGCTGATGAGAATGATGACAAATATTAATGGCACAGAGATAGAGAAAAGAAATTTTGATTCTGTGCTTTTCATACGTTTATGCTGTAAAGATAATACTAATCCTTTGATCTTGATCGTACGGCTCAAATTAAACAGTTTTAATTTTTCCAATATTAAGTATTTTATATAAGAACCGTCAGATCTTGATCGAACGGTATGATATACTTAGACGCGTGAATACGAGTTATTTTTACTACAGCAAATCTAAATCCTAGAAAATGGTCACACGCTGAGAGTGTGGTGTGGTTTGTGGGGTCACTTGTGTTTTTATCTATCTATTTTAAAGTGAATGAATGAAATAAGTTTGGACCGCAATTATGAAAATATATTTTAAATAAATAAATTTTGTATTTATAGAATTACTTTTTTATCCTTGAACATAAATAATTCTAGAATCACTTTTTAGTTTGATTTGAGCCATAATTAATAAACTTTTTGGTCTTTGAATTATTCTTTTTTTGTTGGCAAAAAAGTATATGAGTTATTTTATCTCGATTTTTCTTATAAAAGAAAATGAAAGTTCATGTGGAATAAAATAATAAGAAAATAAGATATGTGGTCAATAATTAAAAAGGGATTGCAAACTTAGAAAGAAAAATTGGGAAAAAAATACTTAAATTTTGGTTTATTAATTATTAAAGAGAGTGAATGAAAATAAAGGTGAGAAAAAAAATTTTATTTGATCGACACTAGAAAAGGAAAATATAAGTTAAAATATTGATGTTTTATTATAGTTGTGTTTGAATTTGTAGAATGTAAAAATTATTTTATTCATGAAATTACGTAAATATTGATAGGTAAACAAATGACCGTCATATATTTTTGTTTTTTTCCCCACAAAAATATATAGTCTTAAATTTATTTTAACCAAAAATAGGCATCATTGTTTGGTTTTTATGATCAGTTATTTTATTAGTGTTAGTTTTCATGTTTATTGCACACCAAACCTCGTGCTGGATAATCAGATTCAAAATCATTTACCTAACAAACGTGAAATATGTGAGGGAGATTCACATGTTTCTTACACATCATTAGATAAATAAAAAAATATAAATGTGAAATGCATGAATCATTTAAAAATATTCAAATTTGAAAATGAGTGAAAATATAAACAATTTAAAATTATATAATTTTATAGTTATTTATAATAGGAGAAAAAAAAGAAAATAATATTACTACTTTTATTAACTTTAACTTAACAGTGCAGAAAACAAAAATATATTTATTAATAAATACTCAATTATTAAAAATCTAACATCTGAGAATGATATCATCCAAAATCCTCTAGAACAAAAAAGGTGGTAAATGTTACTTTGTCTTTTTATATCTAGTATTAAGTAACCAATAATTAAAATATTATTTTTTGTTTACTCCTTATATCTCATTAATAAGTGACTCTTTTGACTAATTTACAAATATTAAGAAAAGTATATAAATAAATTAGAAGTAATAATATTTTTATTAAATTATTATTATCAATAAGTTTTTATTTTGATTCCCTTTTAAAATATCGATGTATTTGGATGTATTTGTACCTCATGAGATATGGATATTTTTGTATTAATATTTGAAATTTATTAATAATATTATTATTATTTTGGTCATTATTATTTTAATAAAGTTATAATTGTAAAAGTATGGGAGATACCTTAAATAATATATACTAATTAAATTAAATAAATGTAAGCTATTGATGAAATGTTCAATCCTCATTTATTTTTATTTATATATAAACTTAAAATTATATATATATATATATATATATATATATATATATATATATATATATATATATATATATATATATATATATATATATATATATATATATATATATATATATATATATATATATATATATATATATATATATATATATATATATATATATATATATATATATGAATAATAAATATATATATATATATATATATATATATATATATATATATATATATATATATATATATATATATATATATATATATATATATATATATATATATGAATAATAAATATATATATATATATATATATATATATATATATATATATATATATATATATATATATATATATATATATATATATATATATATATATATATATATATATATATATATATATATATATATATATATATATATATATATATATATATATATATATATATATATATATATATATATATATATTGAACTGTGACAGAGGTTGACCCACCGTCAACATGGTTCAACCCAACTCCTCGTCGGAGAGAGTCAAATGAATGTCCAATTCATTATCTCACACGGGACGTTCTCACGCGTCTCCCTCACGTTCTTTACGTGTTTCCCACGCAGGGACATGATATCAAGCAACTACCCACGTTTGAAAGAGCTGATCACCCACCTTCCGAAAATTACATGGCAGTTGAATCAAGATGAAGACCACGTGTTGAGCTTTCCCTACGCCACGTAGGTCCTATTAGTTATTCGTATTGAGTCTGATGATCCAATCCAATGCAAAATAATTGTTGCCCCAATGTTGTGGCACATTATAAATATTCTTTTTATTAGAAAGTCAGATATTTTATTCTCTACATTTTTTATATTTGTTCTTTTTACTTTACCATTGAAATATCTTGCAGATACAACCTCCTCTTCTTCTCCACCACCAACAAAATAGAAGCTCACAATGCATTGTTGACCGCTAATATCACCATACACACATACACATAAATTCAAACAATCTTATATACTAACAGCTCACAACTATTCCACACCATCTGCTTACCAGCACAAGGTGCATAAATATTTTCTACACAGAACGATTGAACATTAACTTTACAATATACAATAAATACATGATCAAATAAATCTCCCACATAGTCAGAATACCACTCGAAGCACCTCTAGATGATTAAAAATAAAAATCCATCATCATACTTCCCACAATAAATTAGAAAGAAAATAACTTATCTCTTCCAATTTAATATCTTGAATGTAAACAATATTCAAGTTTTCTCTCTAATTAAAGTCAACACCTATTTTCTCTTACTAGTTCCTCCCAACCCCTCCTAACATCAAATGAAATAATATTCTTTGGAAAAAAACAAAACGTCCAATTAAGCACCCCACACAAAACAACTACACCCCTCTAATATTGATATCTATACCACTATCCGCCACAAAAGATATAGCCTTCACAAATATAAGAAAAATTTACCCCATACCCCTACAATTATACCCATATTCTTACATTAACATTTTTTGAATAAAAATACCCTCGTATAAAAATTTATAATTTTTTTCATTTGTTCACCGGAAAACTTTTTGAAAGTCTTTCGGTTCATATTTTTTTCTTTTTTTTTACCGGAAGACTTCCAAAAAGTCTTCCGGTTCACATTTTTTTTCGTTTGTTCATCGGAAGACTTTCTGCAAGTTTTCCGGTTCATATTTTTTTAGTTTGTTCACCGGAAGACTTTTTGGAAGTCTTCCGGTTCATGTTTTTTTTTTTAAATTTTTAATTAATATTTAAGATTTATTAATTTTATATAAAGACCAATTTAGTGAATTTTTGTCTATTATACTTAATATATAAAAATTCTATAAATAGAGAATCATTTTCAAAATATTTTCTATTTGCTATAATTATTAGAATACTATGAGATTAAAATCATTTATTTTAAATGATCATAATCATAGAATTTTCTCAAATATCTTATTAATCTTGAAAATTAATAAATAAAATAAATTTAAATATAGGATATATGTTTACATTATTCAATATATTTAATCAAATAAAAATATATGTGATAAATCAATAATGTATTTTAACTTAAAATGATCACAATAAGTTAACTTGCAAAATAATATAAGTAATAAATTAATAATGTATTTTATTTAAAATAATCACAATAATAGAACACAAATAATGTGTTTTATTTATAGGACTGATATAGTTTTATTGATTATTTAATTTTGAATACTACTATGAATATAGTATTTAATCTATACTTTAGAACTCACATAATTATAAATATAAAACAATATTGTTTTATTACCCATATTTTTATTTAATTAAAAAAATTAAGAATATAAATTTATTATTTGTTTTTCATTTTTGTTTGATCTTTTTTTATTTATAACTTTTTTGTATGTTCTATAATGTGCTTACTTTAAATAAAATATATTATTTATTTATATCTTATATTTTTTATTTTATTAAAAATATTATATAAAGTGAAATTATTACTTATATTTTAATTTGGTTGATTTATTTAATTGAAAGTTCGATTTAGTTTTTGTTTCTTGCAAGTTATATTATTGTAATCATTTTAAATTAAAATACATTTTAAATTTACAAGTTTAGTAAAATTTGTTTGCAAATTCTAAATATATAATACTAATGTGATAATATTATGATAATTATAGCAAATAGAAAATATTTCTAAAAAATATTCTCTATTTATAGAATTTTTATATATTAAGCATAATAGATAAAAATTTACTAAAATGATAATATTATGATAATTATAGCAAATAGAAAATATTTCTAAAAAATATTCTCTATTTATAGAATTTTTATATATTAAGCATAATAGATAAAAATTTACTAAAATGGTGTTTATATGAAATTAATAAATCTTAAACATT